GTTTTGAAGTAATGGTTGTAACTCCACTTCGTTAAGCTCTATTTAAACGAAAGACAAACACATTAGACGAATACTAGCTGAGTGGACCACGGGTCACCTACAGTCAATCATTTGTCCTGAGACGAGACACCTCAGGTCCAACCTCCTCTCGCCACACATTGTACTCCAATCCCTGGAAGCCGTCCACTACAAGGTCCCGACATCTACCGATTCACCGGCGTCCTGCCGGGGTGTTCGTCCCGTGTGCGAAGCACCCCGGCGTGTCGTTCCTGACGACGCCGGCCTACTTCAGCAGGGCTTGTTTGAGGCAATTAAACAGTCTGTGTGGACTGAGTAGTTCGGTCCACCTTGCCCTATGTGTGAGAGAGTGACGTGAGCGGTTGAGCGAGAAGCAACCACAGTGAGATCCTCTTTTTTGGCCAGGATCTGTTGAATTTTTTGGAATATTGGGTTTGCAGATTAGAATTTTCCAAAGGGGGGGTTCGTTTAACATGAAATACTTGAAATAACTAAAGGATAAGTTAAAAAAGAAAGTAGAAAAAAAAAATGAGGTCAAGGAGAACTCTTTCTGCTATAAAGTGAGCAATGATTGAGAGTCAGACCTAAACATTTCAGATGTGTGTATCTCACACTGCACTGTAGGTTTTATTTATGTACCGTTTTTGTTATTCATCTTATTATCTTTGCTTTAAAATTGGTGTTTTTAAATATCCTTTTATAATATGTTCCTTAATGTCTTTCATTTTTGTAAAGCACTTTGAATTGCCTTGTGTCGAAAGGTGCTATATAAATAAACTTGCCTTAGTACCGACAAATTCCCTTTATATTTTACCTGTTTTTTTTGTTCATGTAAATACACAGAGTAAATGAGTTTCATATTGCTAGTGGAAAGCATTACAACAAAAAAGGACTACAATCTACCCCAATCCTAAACTGAAGTTACTGATTTACTAGAAAAAAATGTTGCAGTTATTCCAGGAATCTTGGATTCACTAAGCACAATACTCCCGGAGACTTAAGGTCACATGATTGTGTTTTGGAGCCCTAATTCTAAAAATAATCCCCTCTACCCTCAGGAGTATGCAGTGGGCAGCGCCGCAGACTGCAAGGACCCTCTGTGCTGTCGTGCAGACTCGCGCCCTCCCAAGTGGAGGCGCTGGGAGGCGGGGTTCTGGGGAACCTACAGTAAGTGTGACCTGCCTCTGAGGACCGTGGAGAACCTTCTGGAGAACGCTGCCAGAGACGGACCCTGGGACTGGGTCTACTGGACCGGAGACATCCCAGCGCACAATATTTGGTCTCAAACCAGGAAACAGCAGCTGTCAGAGCTTACTGTCATCTCCAGGCTCATCCACAAGTAATGCTTTATGTTATTTTACATAGAGAGGAACATTTTGCTCCTTTCATACAGTACACAATGGATTTGAAGTCTTGCTATAACTGCAGATAACTTTGCCATTTAGATTATCTAGTTAGAAATACAATATTTGAAACATGGTGTTAAAATGTCTGACCTTTTAGCCATGTTGCTGGTGAGGATTGTTTTGCTGGTGATCAGTTTCTTCAATTCCACCCTCAAATAAGTGTTGTTGTACTCTGACCCAAAACCTTGATAACATACGGGATGTTTTTAACTGCATCTTTGCTCAGATGTTTGTCATGAGCAACCTGGAATTGATCCTTACGGCCATTGACTCTGTTCTTGTTTTTTATCTCCTGTCCAGATACCTTGGACCCCATGTGACAGTGTACCCTGCTATAGGGAACCATGAGAGCACACCAGTGAACAGCTTCCCCCCGCCCTTTGTTCATGGCAACAGGTCCATGTCCTGGCTTTACGACACGATGGCAGAGGAATGGTCCGCATGGTTACCAGAGCAGGCTTTGAAAACTTTGAGGTTTATATTTTTATTATATCTAAAAACGTTGTTGTACAAGTCAGGCCATCTTATCTGTAGATAAGACATAATTCACGTTGTTAAATACAGTAGTAACAGAAAACGAGATCATAAATGGTGTTGACTTCCTGCAATTTTACCTTTTAGTTCCGATCACATTGTTAGTGAACAGAAGTGGTCACATTTCTCAGAATGTTGTTCCCTATATTTGACTGATTACTTCAGCTAAGTGTTGGCGTGATTTCAGATACGGAGGCTTCTACACAGAGGAGATTCAGCCTGGTCTGAGGCTGGTCTCTCTCAACATGAACTTCTGTGCTCGAGAGAACTTCTGGCTGATGGTGAACTCTACAGATCCTGCTAACCAGCTGCAGTGGCTGGTCCATATCCTCCAGGACAGTGAGAACAAGGGAGAGAAGGTGAGTACAGCAGCTAAAACAAAAGATGACGGAATATGTCGGAACAGTTTGATTTTGCCACGCTTAATGCTAAATGTGGATAATGACTCCATGGCTTTTTCATTTTATTTCCTTATAGTTGCTGGTGTGATCATGTGATTGCAATATAATGTTTTTTACTAGTGTGATCCTTTTTTTTAATTTTGTTTACGTGACATTTCTCTTTTTTAATTTAGGTTCATATCATCGGTCACATCCCACCGGGCCTCTGTCTTAGCAGCTGGAGCTGGAACTATTATCACATTCTAAACAGGTAGCTGCATTAATCATTCAGACCTAAAGAATCCCTGAACTGATAATAATTAAAATGCCAATTTATAGGATACTGTCAGTAGTCTGGGGGTCTTGCCTGATGATCACTTCCAAGTTAGCTTGGCTGTTTTGAGTCTTTAAAAAAAAAAATTAAAAAAAATAAATAGGCGAGTATTATTGAATGGTTTATTGGTATAATCGTATTTTTATTTTCTCCCAGGTATGAAAATACAATTTCTGGGCAGTTCTTTGGCCATACACACTTGGATGAGTTCCAAATGTTTTATGACGAGTCGACAATGAGCCGCCCATTAGGAGTGGCTTTCATTGCTCCCAGTGCCACTACTTACATCAATCTTAACCCAGGTGAGTTCATAAACTATTGAAATGACCTCGCAACGTTTCAGAAGCATATATAAAAATTGTAAATACTTTGTCCTTTTACAGGTTTCCGTGTTTATTATGTGGATGGGAATTACAAAGGCAGCTCTCGGTTTGTTCTTGACCACGAAACCTACATCCTGAACCTCACAACGGCAAACCGAAGTCCAGGAGCGCCGAATACCCCGGAGCAGAACCCCATATGGACCCTGCTGTACCGCGCCACCGAGGCCTACGGTCTGACCAGCCTCTTCCCGTCTGACTACGACGGGCTGATGCGGACCTTCATCAACGACGACCGCAGCTTCCAGAAGTTCTGGTACTACAGACATAAAGGGCATGTGTCGGAGCTCTGCAATGAGACGTGCAAAACTACGATGTTGTGCTTCCTGCACAGCGGGCGCTACGACGAGCTGGAGCAGTGCGACCTCCTCAACGGCTTTAAAGGAGAGATGGCCCGCGCTGCCAGAAAAACCCTCTGTTGACCTGAGGACGTTTGGACTTAATGTGTGGGGGAGAGCTGAACCTGTGAATGGAGGAAAGACCTTTTTCACTGGTGGGTCAACAGGGATTTGTTTTTGTTAAAGTATAAAGACTATTCTCACAATTGTCAAGGGTTTTGTTGGCCTGACTTTATGTTCTCAGTTGGCCTTGTATTATCGGTAATGGTTTTTACAAAGATTGTCACAGCCTCTGGTTTGTTAAATGCTATTTTGCCAATTTGGTAAAGACGGGTTTTGTCTACTTGAAGTCAGGTCACGGTTTTCATGACTTAAATTATATTGTACTGACTGGGTGCCTTGTATCAGGAAAGATGTGTTCAACATATCTCTCCTTATCGAACATAATGCAACTTTAAAATGCCTTTCTACTACAGAGAAGATTCATCATAATCTCTAAATGTTTATCAATGTTAAAGTCCTTGAGATTTATCAAGATTAAGGGCTTCATGACCTCTCAAGACTTCCAATGAAATAAAAGTCCTTTCTTGTAAATTGCAAAAAAATAACAGGAACTTGTATTTTGGGCTGTCGCACCCTTTAAAGGTTGTAAAGCAAATCAATAGTCCATTTATGTATGCACTTTGTGTATAAATGGGCTCCTTATTTCTCAGGTTTGAGCTTGGCAGAGTTGCTATGCAGCACACAGTACCTTCACCCAATCATTTGACTCTCCTCATCAGCACCTGTGGATTTAGGTTGTTAAATTATTTACTTCTCACCATCTGCCTCAGCATAGACTCCTGTACACCCCAACAGTATTTCTCATTAAGGGTTACTTCTGTCTGCACTTTATTTGTTGTCTAATGTCCAGATTTGATAGACCCAAAGTGGGACAAGCATTGGAAGGCTTTCAGCTCTTGGTTTGCAACCTGTGGTGTATTATAAGTGTGACAAGTAATGCAACTTGTAAAATGAGCAATGATTTAAAGAATGTATTAATTATGAATAAAAGATGTATTTGGAGATATGTCTACTTTTTGTTTGTGTCAAAGATGTTAACACAATCGGGGGGGAATACATTGACATCAACATCTCAAAAGTAAGCATACTTAACTTTTATATTGTAGTATTTGTATCTGCTGCCTAGTCTTAAATGTGAAATACAAATCATAGGAGATGACCATTAATATCGCAAGTGCCAGTATTCACAAGTTCTCAAACTGACATGTGAATTTGTTTTGTCACCCGGTGTTCTCATAACTGGTTTCTATTTAAGTGTTTCTGTGGGTTTCCCCTTACTACTTCTTATCGTGTCCACAAGGCAGTCAGTTACAGGGCTTGGTTAGATGTGGTCCCCTTACTGATAAAACATGATGGGCCTTCAGTAGTAGATGTCAGGGTGTCCGCGGGGTCTTAAAAAGTATTAAAAGTTGATCAATCAATTTAGCGAAAATTAAGGCTATTAAAAAGTATTAAACGGCATTTTCCAAGGTATTCAGAAGGTTCACAGCAACGAGAACATGAAACACCCTTTAATTTACTGAAACGACATGTCGGGAAACCCCACAAGGCGGCCCCATGCATAGCGCGCCGTAAAATGCTGCTTATTTTAAGTTTCGTTGCCTTGCGCCGCTCTGTGTGTGGGGGGGAGGAACTAAACGACTACGGTAACGGGTCCCAAGGTGGGTAGACCGGCATACGCAACGCTCTGGGGGTCCAACGGCTCCGTGTGTGCCCTATATGATCATTTTCTGATAACGATGAAATAGCCCGACTCCCTCTCCCCACGTCTCCTGCTGCTGGGCTGTCAGAAGAGGGGGAGGAAAAGAGAGGCAGTCACCGTTTATTAAATATTCTTATATTATTATACAGAGAACAGAGTCGTTATCAATTTGTTTTAAAGCTCAATAAATAACAAAGAAGACCTCTGACCGGCACTTTTCTAATTTTGTACGGAAGATTTAAACTTTAACGGACATTTTTTTTAACGGAAACTCTGCCGCACGGTTCCCTGTTCCTTGGAAGAGGCGGAGAGGTGGGTGTTTTTCATCTGCTGGTGGACTACCTGAGAGATACAGCAGGAGAACACGCCGTCCACCGCGGAGAATAAACAGAAGGGCAACCATGGCAACCATGCTCCGGGGTCTTCTTCGCTGCTTTTGGTGTATTTCGTGGCGGCAGCAGCGCCACTTACAGGCCTGACATATGTACTACAGCGTTTCCAGCATTTCCAGCGGTCTAGTGTGAACGGACACATTAATGAATCGAATGCGTGTGAACGGAAGACTTTTTTGCGTTTGCGTATGCGTTTTACCGTATGTTTTACCCGTATGCGTCCTTGTGGGGCCGGGGTCTAAGCCAAACATATCCGGTCACAGAGATCTGCTAATTTAAAGTGTAAAGTCAACACATATGACCGCTAAATAATAGTCTATGATTGAAGAAAACGACGAAAAGTCCTTAAACCCATATATATATCCTTTTTTGTAAAGACATATGAACAACATGTGTGAGGGTGGATGACGTCAGAGCATCGTCCTTATGGTTGCCAGGGCTTTAGCCCCGGAAAACCAGCCCCACACCAAATTAACCCCTGGGTTAATTTGTGAGGGAGCTCCTTATATATGGCATTTACCCCGGCTGCACGCCTGGAAGCTCACCAAAGTTAACATATTTCCATAGTTTTTTCAAAGTTTTTGGTCAAGTTGTTTTTGTTTATTTGGTCAAATTACTGGTTTCTAATGGTTTCTGAGAGGGTGTGTTACTGGAATGAAAGAGCACAGAAAGTCCTTACAGAAGCAAAAAAGCAGCAATACTTGCATTAAAACCTGAACCTTCACAGAGAAGGGTGAAAGTTCACTGTGGAAAGGAGGCTTCAGTAGTACTGCTGCCACTCTGTTTTAGTTTTTGCTATCTGAACATCAATATAGGACAGTGTGTGTTGCCAATGATAACCGGGTTAGAAACGTCAAAAGTTGCGATGGAGGGTCTTTAAAATGTTATGGGGGAAAGGGTCTTAAAAAAGGTCTTAAAGGTAGTTAAATTTGGACTTCCAGGGGAGTTCCCTGCTTATTACCCTGGATGTTTCAAAGAAACGAAATCTTCTAAAATACTTCAGGGGGATTAATCTAATAACTGCACTGGCAGGAGCAGTGCTTTTTGTCTAGAGAAATATACTGGTCAAGAACAACTGCAGCATAACCTTTTAGCCTTATAAATTTCTTTCAAGCGCAAATGTTTTCTGACTTTTCAGTTTCTAATTAAGGATGCTTAAAACAGTTACCACACAAACTGATTTCACTGGACAGGAACATATCATGTTAAATGGCATTGCTTCACAATTATACATCATTAAGTGCCCAGCACGCAGTCTGACTTAGTGCCCTTCAGATTGTAAAACATATTGGATCAAGTAATGCGCTCTTCAATTTAACATTACACTCATGGTATACACTGTACCCATTCAATCACCTCAAGTACAAGTAAAGACCGACAACATTATCTTAGCTTTCTAAAGGCTTTATTCAGAGAGATCATAGAGACACAAAGTCCTAACTTGCCCTCCTTCAATTTTTAAAACCATAACCACTCAATAGGGTATTCAACTGTAACCATTTCCCAGCCCCCCCTCAACAATCAATTCAATACAGTAAAAACTGAACAAGGGTCCATTTTAATCTTCAGCCCCCCTTTCTTAAAAAGCCTTTTTTTTTATCAGAGAAAAGTCATAAGAAAGACCACAAAAAGGTCCTTCCCTTGGTCGGTTTTCCCCAGGCCTTTGGGTTTTGTTGGAAGGTTGTCCGCCTCGTTCTGGGTAAGAAACGCCTGTGGATGGAAACAGGTTCAACATTCAGCCAATGTCACACCAGACTTAGAAAAGATTTGACATCCGGGGGCCTTTAAAACAATGCCATGAGGAAAACAACACCTTGTTATTCCTATGAAGGAGGGTTATTGGGAAAAACCCAGAAGTTAGAACGGAACATCTTCCATATCCTTTTCCGGGAAAGACCCCTTAAAGGGGGGGAATGGAAAAATTGAAAAGAAGTTGAATCATCAAGCCCAAACCACCCATCTTTAACGACCCGTTGGGTAGGTCCTTTGAGGTGTAAATCACATTGCAAACAAAGCACCTTCCGACTCCAAAACAATGACTTGAAACATCCTTTCAAAAAACCACCGGCCGGTTTTCCCCAAGTTAAGAAACTGGAATGGACTGCCTGCTTGCTGCCCCCCACATCAAGGAAAAAACCTTTTTTTTTAAAACACCAATCCACACAACTAACAAATGTTAAATGGTATGAACAAATGGGGGGAAAAGTTGAATGTGGGGTTTCGAGTGTGTTGGGGAAAATTACTGTGCAAGTTCCTCCTGTTTGGGGCCCACACAACACCATGAAAACACCAAGCCCTCTCTTCCCACAATTTATCCTTTCCACTTGAGGAATACTGCCTTTTACCTTTACCCACCTGGGGCAGAGAAAGAAAATACCCGTTCCCCAGATTAATTACGACGAAGAGATTTATGTAAAAGGATCCATTACCTGGGAAAGCATTTTTGAGTTTTCAACCCCCCCCTGGAAATTGAAGTGGAAAATGCCGGGGAAAAATGGCTTTCTTTGATCCTGAGCCTCTTGGGGGTGAGCCATCCTTTGTCTGTTGAACTTTGGGTCTTCCAGGACTCGTAAAGTCCACGTAAAACCGTCCTATGGTTTTTCCCCGACAAGTTTCCAAACATCTTACAACCCAAAGGTGTCCCAATGTTTTTTTATATGAGGAAATCCCAAATGATAAAATGTGTTTTTAAGAAAGAATAAATTTGTTTTATACACACATGTTTTTTGCTTTTCCAAGACCCCACAAATCGGTAGTTCTTTTTTAGCACCAGGGGAAGGGCGCCCAGGTCCAGGTAATAAGTTTTTTTTGTTTATGGTTTCCCTTTTTTAAGTTCCTAAGAAATGCCTTTACAAATATTTTCCGTCCAAGAAGTGAACTTCCTTAAGACCTGAGAAAGCGTCACTCTACCTCTGAAAACCTTTTTGGGAAAAAGCTTTGACTCTTGGGTCTTGTTTCTCCACCCAAAAAGCCCAACTACCTGTAAAGAACCAAGACCGGAAAGGAATGGTAAGAAAAGTGGTTTGGCCAAAAAAAATGTTTTCTATTTCCCATTAACCCTTGCCCCTGGTTAATAAAAAATCTGAACGTTTAAACCCTTGTGGCACTCTTGAAACTGGGGTCCAAACTTGTTAATAACCCCAGGTTGGGCAAACACCAGAGTTACCCCCGTGCGGTCCCTGTAAAAGAGAGCCAGCAAGAAGTTTAAAACCTAAGAGTGGAACGTAACCCAAATTGTTACACCAAAACTAATTATTTAATTTAACTTCAAACCGATTAATTAAAAACAAGAGAAAGATATGGGTTGAGTCCATCACCTTTACCCTCCTTTTTGCCCAGTTGAATGGCAATGGAAATGGTTTTTGGGAAAATCCCGCAAGACTCCACGTTCTCCACGTTTTGCTGGTTGTAATTCACCCATGGTTCTGGAGACCAGATAAATGGAACAACCAGGTGGGTAAAAAAGAAAAACATTGGGAGTAAACCTGGGCCCCAACACAATTTAAACAACCACATACCTGCCCCCCCTGGTTACATGATACAAAATCTTTAGTTTTTTCCCCTTTTTGGGTTGTTAAATACTTTGTGGGAAAACGTTTGCAAGTAATTTCCAAACAGCACACGCCTAACCGGGCTCCAGACCCCTACAAACCGTCATGATGTTTGGCCCCCTTGTATTAGGTTTTGAAAAACCCCCCCGGTTTTGAGGCGTGGTGAAATTTACTGGCAAACGTTGTTTCCCCACCCAATATTTTTAACCACCAAAAAGAAACTAAATGGTATACCATTTAATCCCACCAGTTATGTGTTTTGTAATAGTTGTGGGGCCCAGTTTTATCTCAATGGTCTTTTTCTTTTTACCTTGTGGTTCCATTATCTTTGTCTCAGGGACATGCCTTGGAAATACAGCAGCAAACGGTGAGGGACGGTGGGGATGCCTGCCTGATCCCCAGAAAACATCCAATTGCTTCCACTTGCAAAAAGGGAGGGAAAGGTGGATGAACCAAACCATGATTCCCGCTGCTTCCTTTCTGTTTTAATTATTCAAAGTTTTGGAGTTATAAATAAGTTAAGTTTTGGTGGTACAATTTGTTCTTTTACCCGGTTCACTCCCTTGAGTTTAAACTTCTGCTCCCTCCTCTCTTTAAACAGGAACCGCCCCGGTTTTGACTCTTGCGTGTGGCCACCCTGGCGTTATTGAAAAGAAGTGGGACCCAGTTTTTCCCCGACGAGCCGTGCAACAGGGTTTACAAAGTTTCCAAGATTTAAACAGGCCAAGGGGTTTAATGAAATTAGGAAAAAAAATTTTGCCCCACAAACCTTTCCCTACATTCCTTTTCCCCGTTTGGTCTACCAGGATTTAGTTCCTGGACCTTTTGGGTTGGAGAGGAGGACACCAGACCAAGAAAGTCAAAAGCCTCCAAAAGTTCCGCGGGTAAAAAGAGACGCCCTCCTCAGGTAGAAGTCACTCTGGACCGGAAAAATATTTTTTGGGGTAAAAGAGGCCATTTCCTTTTTAGGACTTTAGACATAACAAAATAA